CCCCTCTCGGAGAATTAGTTAATTAATCGCGTTCCTTTTTAATTCCCCGAAGGAGACCTTCCGTCTGGATTTTTCACTCTTTAATGCGCGCCTTGCTGAACCCGAGATTAACTCGAATCGGTGTAATATGATTGCTCTTGTGAAAGAGAACGTTTGAAAATATTCGTGTATTCGTCGTTAGATGAGAACAGTTAGTCAGATATATACCGTTGGCCCGAGAAGAAATTCACTATGCCGAGAGGGGACAAGATTTTGTAAGGACGCGTATATTTCTTCTCCGAAATGTACAAAATCGGAATCCATTTGATTCCCGATTACCTCCGCGACCCAGCGAGTTTCCCCTCGATGGTCCAATGGTAAAATGAACAATCCGATTATCGGGATAACGTCACGTACACCTCGAAGAAAAACAGCTGTGCAATCACCGATCTACAAGTACCATTGTAAATAAATTGATCCCCGTGAATCTCCCGCTAGCTCGGTCTCATAAAAAAGTCGATTAGTTCTCGGCCGGGCTTGTTAATCGTCTTGAACGCTTAATTACCAGTTAGGACGTTGTAAATATTCGTGTTTTAACCTTAAGTTAGCGTGAAGACGTTAAGGTAGCCGTTGCGTTCACGTTAGGATTAATTAGGGGAAAAGACTGGCACGAACACCACGAAACGCTTTAAATCGCCGGGATAATCGTTCTCGACTCCGCGGGCAGTTTCAGATCGAGCATTGATAAAAAAAATTCAGCCTGAATCCGACGCTGACGTAGCCACGATGCACACACGATACGATTGAGACGTTTTTTTCTTTTCTTTTTTTTTTTTTTTTTTCTTCGATTCGGTTGGAAAATAGAAAACTGTGTATTCGACACTCACTCGTCAACACTGCGAAAAAAGTGACAGAGAGGAACAAAACAAGAAATTCTCTATTATAATTTCCCACACGGTAGATAAGATCTATGGCTATGCGAAATTGATTTTATAGAGTCGACGGAATGTGCGTGTGTGCGTGTGTGTGTGAAAGGGAGAGAACGAAAGAGCGCGAGAGAAAGAGATACACACACGGGAGAGTAAAGCCTGGTTTATTAATCGCGAGGAGAAAGAAGAAGAAAAAAAAAAACAAAAAAACAAAAAAAAAAAAA